TACAAATATAAGAAATACTACTACTTCTACGTATTGTATCCCCTTCAGGATGTTGTCTATCATGGCTCTCCAAAATTTCCTGTCTTTTGTAGCTCTTAGTAAATTTTGTCTTTTTGTTATCTCTTCTAAACCCTGCTCTGACATCCATTTACATAAGCTAGTTAGGCAGGCTAGGTTTGTTTTCTTCTGTCCCTCTTCAACTATATAAAAGATTAGGCTCATATTGTTTTTGGAGTTAATTTTTGTTATTTAAGTGAGGTAAGTTCTATTTACCAAGAGCTTGAATCTAAAATCATATTCAGTATAATCAACTCCCAAAAAGGTGTAAAAAAAAAAAAAAAAACAATATATTAGTTAAAGCGCATTCATTTCTGACAGTAAGCGTAAAGTATATTTAAAGTACAAAGAAATCGCTTGAAAAGCAATGTACTGTGATTAACTTCAATCATATGAATAAGTAGATAGTTTGATGTTTATGTTCTCATTCGCGGACGTAATTTACAATGCACAAAGGTTCATTTTTAATTTTGTTTTACATTTTGAAAGTGATAATGCAAATTATTCTAAAGGTCACATATGAAAACCCTTTAAGTTTACAAAATAATAAATATATGAGCATAATAGATCATTTATATATATATATATATATATATATACACACACACCTCACATACACAGAAAGGGTTCATGAAGTTCTCAGTTCAATCAATCATCTTTGCCCAAAACTTTTGAAGTGGATGAAGCTGAGAATTTTTCACCACTTCCTACAAATTGCATATGAAATACATTCAATATTATTTAAAGTAAAACATTAGATTTTAGTATGTGTGCTCACAAATTTACTCCACACACACACATATATATATAAATATATTGCTTAATGATGAATAATATTCATTTTACACAACAAATTTCAACATATATTTCATCCTTGTTTATGCAATTAATCCAATATATTGAACATTATACAGTTAAAATTCCAGATCAAAATACAATTTATAATGACTAACTGGGTAAATTATGTATCAAGCTGAAGACTTGATACACACTTTGTACACAGGAAGAGAGAAAAGTCAATGAGAAAAAAGGTAAAACTTGATAAAAGTGTGGACTGTCAGTAAAAGGTCATCAGTTTTGAATTGATACAGGGTATATAATAAGAACATATAAAGATACAGGGTATATAATAAGAACATATAAAGTTCTAACTGAAAGGAAATAAAACAAATTAAATGCTAAATTGATCATAAGATAGACCAAAAGGAATAGAAAAGATTTTAAGTTATTTAAATTATTAGTCAGAATAGCAACAGAATAAATGTTCAATAGAAAAATAATTATTTTATGATCACATGTTTTACTACAACTCAGTGAACTGAGTTAATATAAAAAGATCAAATAAATTAATCATCAGCAATATTCAGAGCTTTTAAGATAGAAAAAACATATAAAATAAATTGATGAGGCAGATAAATTATTAAAACTTAAATGCTAAATATGGAAGTAATCTGATAGAGCTTTTTCATTTTTTTTAGTTGTCTTTCCTGTACAGAAGCTTAAAGAAATTTAGATCATTACTGACTGATATGAAAAACATATCAGGAAGAGAATGGCATCAGCCTTATCATCTTGAGTTTAATTCTTTATCTACTGATCTAACATTTTTACTATTCATCACATCTGTGTACATATACAGGATGTGGCATAGCAGGATTTCATGGGAAAATAGAACCAATTTCTTTGGTCTTTTCAAAAAAGATAAATTATTTCATATACACTATGTCAGATTTTATTATGCAAGTCAATGTTTTCATGATAAAATTGATATGAAACAACCAATGTTGGTAAAATATTCAGAATATATTTTTATAATAAATATTCAATGTAATTTAAACTTATCTGTTTTTATTAGAATTATTTGCAACAACTTATTTGGTGATGTGAGATTTCATGATGCAACTTGAGGGTTATTCATCATATTGTGTGTGTGTATATATATATATATATATATATATATATATATATATATATATATAAAAATATACTCTTAAGGTGTGCTATATTTATGGGATAAAGTGGTCAATATCAGAGATAGAGCATGTGTAAATATAAAAGTGAACATTAAAGCCAACACTTAGAGGCGACGGGCTGTTTCATGCTAGACGCAATCGTCAGGCCTGATGATTGCGTCTAGCATGAAACAGCCTGTTGCCTCTGGAAAATGTTGGCAAAATAAAAACAAAAAACTGATCTTTAAAAATTTCACAAAATATATGAAAAAAATTAAAAAGATAATAAGCAAAAAAAGTAGATTGATGCTCATGAAAATATTTGAAGAATCTAGTTTTGCAACTATAAACAATGAGATATATATGAAGAACATTTGCTAATTGCATGAAAGAAATCAAACCTTTTAAATAAGACACAAAAGAAACATGTAAATTGGATGAAAAAGTACATCAAAACTGATTTCTTAACAGTAATTTTTAATGATGGATGTAGAGCTACATTGGAGTAACGTGATAATGGAGTCTTTCATGTTAAACAACAAGGGTGGGAGGTGGAGTAAAGTTTTGGCTAATATTACAGGAAGTAAAATTATAAGTCTTTTTAAAGCTGATGATGGTTCATGATAAATGCAAAAAAAAAAAAAAAAAAAAAAAAAAAGATTTAAATACTTGGACAAGATGTTTTTAAATGATATTCCCAATCAAGCTATTAACTAAAAAGTATATTCATACAAGATAATGCTCCTTCACATTCTGTGAAGCTGACTATTACCCACCCTGCTAAAAAGGTTTCAAAGACAACAAATTAATGAAATGGTTATTTAATCCAATAAAAAACTTGTGATCAATCATTAAAAGAGTTCTAGATGATAATGAAAAACAATATTCAAGCAAAGACCATGTCTGGGAAGCAATAAAGTTGAAACAGGAGGAAAGTTAACAAAATCAATGAATGACATAATTATTATGGTTATAGAATGTCAAGGAGCCTATATTAAGATACAAAATGACAGGATAATTTATTTAGTTATATGAAATCTTGTGTTAATATGACATATCTTGAATTTATATAAAAATAATTAAATTGCACTTTGCATAATAAAACCTCCAAAATATCAATATTTTTAATAAAAATAGATAAGCTGAAACACACAGGATCTATTGTTCATGTAAACATATTCTGAAAATTTTACCAACAGCAATTATTTACTATTAATTTTATTGTGAAAAAATTAACTTGCATAATAAAGTCTGACAGTGTGTGTGCGTGTGTGTTACACAATGAGAATTAAAGAATAACCAAAACTTGAAAATTAAAGCCCTGACAATTGGCTGATGAAAAAAATGACTATAAGCATTAAATGTCATGCCAAGAACACTGAATAGGCATTTTGAATATTAAAAATATAATAAAAAAAAATATTATCCAACAAAATTCCAAAGACATGTAATGAAAAACCTATTGTCAAAAATAATAGATTATTCAATGCCTCTGAAAATATTGTTGGTTAAAAGAAAAATATCAAAATCACTTTGCAAATAAAAATTATGTAAAATTTGTTTACATCTAATTCCTAGTTCTTTATATAATACATTATCAGCTTCCACTTAAAACTGAGTGGAAACAAACTGCACAATTCCCACCAAACCAAATGATTTTGTTTTTTCTTCAAATCAAAAGATCCATTTAAGGAATAGGGAACTTAAAATATTTGAATTTTTCAATGTTCATCTTTAAAGCTGAAAATAGGTATCATAAAAATAAGTCTTAATACTTATAATAAAAAATAAGTATTAAATGAATTTAGTAAGAATTTACATTAAATATAATTGATGTTACTGAAAACAATTGTTTCTTCACATTTCATTATGATATGCACTGCTGTTTATTAAATATATAAATACCAATTAATCAGTAAACAATGAGATTAAAACTCAAACCATAGCATACGATTGAAATATTATTTTGTTTTCATCCTGTTTCAAATCTTTTTCAGTGTCAATTATAAATGCTTCAACAGATAACTAATGTTGTTTGTGCAAAGGAAAAATGTGCTTATTTTCTTATGGCTGAGACAAGTATCTCTGCTGCTCTAAGAAACTAATGATTAAGTGGTAAACATGGAATAAAAGATGACATTGCAGGTCACTCAAGATCCAACTATTTATTATTCATAAATTTATCAGCCTCAGATGTTGACATCCAATCACTTTTCCATCATAGTTTTGCAGCATGTCATCTCCATGCCATCAACACAGAATCAGACTTGTGTATTCTTTCTAATTTGCTGACCAACACAATGCTACACCCATCTTGTAGATAACAACTTTCAAGTTGCACAGCACATATAATTGCAGAGAAAATTGACTGTCCTCTCATCATTACAAGTATTCACAAGATATAGAGATCTAAGCTAGTAGGAAGAGCTAGGATTGATTGTCATTTCACACATGAAAGCAAAACTATTTCTCACATTCACATTTAAGGTTCTACTGTGTAAGGGTTCAGGAATATTGAAGAACCCTAATGTTAGATAGAAAAGGGTTAAGTTTTTATACTGTTCATTCATCAAATTCTTTTGCTAAAGTGAAAATACCGGGTCAGGACACTGAGCGGTTTGTTCTTTATTACTATTAACTTATAAATGAATATCTTGTTCCAGAACTAACTTTTCTACCAGCTGTTTTTAAAAATCTAATTTAGAAAAAATATGTAAAATTTATCATTTATGCACAACTTTTAATAATTTGTGAATAAGTATATGTTCTAATTGTTGAGAAAGTAGAACAATTTCAAAGCAAAATAAATATTAATGGACAATGTATTTTAATTCTTGATGAAATATAAGCCTTGATAAAAATTTAGATATTATTAAATTCAGAGTGATAGCTAGGGATCTAATGTTGAATAAAAGAGGTCAATAAAAAAAGCCTAAAAAGCAAAATTAATTTGTTCATTGTAAAGTCAAACGTAAGATTTGAATTTCTTACCTCAGTTTCCTGTTCTGATAAATCTTCACAACTGAAATAATCAATAAAGCATGGGTAAATACAAATGAAGTTTACAAAATATGTAGAAATATTAAAACTACTAAAAATTTAATAATAGAGAAAATTATAAATTACAATCTGTAAAATAAGAAAAAAATGGATATTATAAGGGTCAAGAATTTTTGTTAAAAATAGGCATAAAATATTAAATCAAACAAGTTTCTCTTTAAATAGCTTTTTAATTCTTTGTATAATATTAGAATTTTATTTTTATTTTCAAAAGATTAATAAAACCCCTAATTAATCGTTTAAAAATAAATTTTACCTACCCTTTCTTTTGCTTTATGGCTTGAATGACAACTTTATGGAAACTATTCATTTTTATTTTAGTGTAATTCCTTGGAAAACATGTCCAAATAAAAAGTGACTACTACTCAATATGACCACATCCCACCCTCCTCTACCGTAAACAAGATGAGTAGCATATGACTGACTTTAACACAGGCCAGGACGAAAATAAGACAGACAGGCAGCTAAGATTGCTGCTGCTGCTTCTGTCAATACATACATACTACTGCTTTCTACATGATACACACCAATGTTGGAGGAACTGATCAATGAGACAACCCCTTAGTGGACTCCAGCAGTTTGCTATTGCTACTACTACTCGAACTTGTAGTAACACTATATAATTTCTACTAAAGAAATAGTCAGCAACGATAGCTGTAGCAGGAGTTGTAGTTACAGCAGTGGTAGTATTAAACAGTAATAATAAGAGCAACAAAGCATGTGCATAATTCTTAAATTCCTTTGTTAGAACTAAAATGACTTTCTATTGGGGCTTGCCTTTCCTTTTTTTGTTGTTTTTGAGCTTTACATGTCTGATGTTTTTCTCCTCTTCTAAGTGTACTATTGAGAGAGAGAGAGAGAGAGGGAGAGAGCAAATGTCTCCTAAAAAGAAAGAAAAAAAAGAAAAAAATGCGAATACAAATAATGCCTTATTTTCTATGTAATGGTACCACCTATCCTAGATTTAAAAGACCAAGCCTCCTTTCTCCTGATTTGAACAACTGCTAACCAAATGTTTAAGCGTAAACCATTACAAGTGCTATCATCACCCACTTATTGAACCTTAAAGTGACATTAAAACTCTTTGAATACTATGAGTGAAGGTCCATCAATTATAAGTGCTTCTTTGATCAGGTAATATATATGTATAAAACCAGAAATAAATAATGTAAAAAATAAACAAGTATTGAATGCAAATTGAGTATAAGAATATATTATTACTAAATCTAAAACAAAATTTACATTAAAACAAAACACTAATTTGATTTTCATTATTTCTCCAATATTCTAAGATGAAATGCTTTCCAAATATCTTTGTAATGTTTATTTAGGCTTATTAAAAACAAAAAAAATTTGACTTATTAAAAACAATACAATAACTTTCTTGATTCCTACTCCACACAAATAGAAAGAATAGTCAACATATGAATTCCAAATAAACAGTTGCATAGCAACCATCCTTTACTTCTTCATCTAATGAAGCACTTAGATGTTCTTTTTAAAGTAACATTTCAAAGATACATCATGCAACAAGCTTAGTGCATCTTTTAATGTATAAACCCAGTAATAAAATACTGAAACTTTTTCTTTATACTTTGCTGTATCATGGTTTTAAATAAATACAAGTTGACATGACAAATTTTTCAACAAATTAAAAGTATAGAGCTTGTAAAGTTTTATTCCTGTTTTAATTAATACATTTGATGAAATTTAATGATAAACTTATTTTCAATATTTCAGGTAATAATAATTCTCTCAGAATAAGTTGAATGTGATACAATATCCATTGCAAAAAATAAATAGTTTTAATTAAGTAATTTCATATTAAAAAGTAGTTAGATGAAAGGTTTTTGATGGAAGTAGGTAAATTCTTGAAGTCTATGAAAGTAAAATTACCACTCTGAAGAAAGTATTTCATAATCAACAGAAAATAAAAGACTAGCAAGACAATATTGACAGAGACAACCAGTTTCTCTTGATGACATTTATAGATGGAATAAAAAGAAAAAGAAATACACTAATGAAAAATACTGTACAACAATTGTAGAACATAGTGCATACAATTCCTAATATTTCTAGAAATTTCTGCCTCCTGATAAGTATTTCAGGATCAAGAATCTATCGTAAATCTAAAAAGAAAAGTCAGTATTTTGACACTAGGTGTCTGAATAAGAATAAGTAACAATAAAAATCATTGTCAAACCAACCCTGAATTTGAGTTAAGATGGAATGAGAACAACAAACAGGAATTAATTCTCTATCTATTCTGAAACATCTGTTTAGTTCTGCAATGTTCTTGCTAAATATTAAATAAGTTTAAATACAGAGAACAGACTTCATATTTATATAAAAAACATACAAATAAATCTCTTCTTTATTAAGAGAATATTTTTAAAATAGACATTCAGCGATATAATTTATATATATATAAATTATATCACTCCAAAAGTTTTTATCTGTTATCAAATACACATTTAAAAAAACAAAAAAAAAACAAAAAAAAAAAACATATTTCAATTCACATTATATGTTTTCGTCTCAGATGCTATCTGAATTTTACCAAAAACAAAATAATTTCTATGCCTAAAGATGACTATATGTACAATCAAAAGTACTTGCGTATTTAAGAAAGACCTTATACAGCTTATAATTTTAGAAAACAAGGATCATAACATTCATCAAGTGATTAGTAGGTTAATGCATCTTTAAAAAATTTTGTTAGCGAAGGGATTTTGCCATTTTATATTATTAACTTTACTAATTTACTTTTTGTATGAATGATTCATTGTATATATATATATATATATATATATATATATATATATAACCATTATATGTATATATAATTATTTACTAAGTTTAGCTTGGCACAAGGCCCCAGTAATAGCACAGCTTCTATATGAGCAAATTGGTCCACAAAATACCCAAGAGTAGGCATCTAAATCATTGTGTATATAGATTTAACAACATTTACTTATTAATATATATTTATTTGTAGATGAAGCACAAAATCTTAAATATCAAGAAATTTCAAATTTGTAAGATTACAGTGAAATTATATTAATCTGGACTATATTCATTGATAGAGTTAAGAATTTAAAATGTTTTTAATATAATACAAAAATAAAACACTACATCAGGTATTATAGTGTATTATCTTTTATTTATAGATGTCGATTTTATTAAGCAATGAGTAGATCCATGCAATCACAAATGACAGTATATTTTGTTAAGATTGTTACTGTTATTAGAAGTTTTTTCACAGGTTGGTATTTTCACATCCCAGTTTGGTAAACATTTGAGACATTGTCATTATCATAACAAAGATGATGTCAGCTGACATTTTCAGTGGAAAAAGAAGGATAAAAAAGTTAAGACATTATAGACAAAAATTTACAAATATACTTGACACATTTTATATACATATATATTATATATATATATATATATATATATATATATATATATATATATGATTGAAATAAAAAGTATAAATTTAATATTACAAGACATATTAAAACAATATTAAATAAAAAAAACAAACTCAACAACAAGGGGGGGAATCACTGGTTTCATTTGAAGGTTTGGAAAACTTCCACAGGAATTCAAAATTAAAACAAACAATGTACAATAAGAATAGGTGGAAAAAAACCCGCTGTCATATATATATATATATATATTATTTGTATATATACAAATATATATATATATTTTTTTTTCCCACAAATTCTATTGTTTACAAAAGAAATTTCTGTTTTAATTTTAAATCTCCCAGAACCTTCAAATGGAAATACTGAAGAGCGGGAGCTTAATTTCATTTGAAGGTTCTCCCCACACACCTTGTTGTTGAGTTTTTTTTTTTTTTATTATTTAATATTGTTTTAATATGTCTTGTAATATTAAATTTTATACTTTTATTTCGATCATTAAATTTTGTACCTACAAAAATATCTTTAAATATATATATATATATATATATGAATGTTATGTTGTAATAAGTATTACAAAAGAGTGAAACCTAAAGTTACAAACTCATATCTATATATATATATATATATATATATATATATATATATATATATATATATATAGAGAGAGAGAGAGAGAGAGAGAGAGAGAGAGAGAGATGAAGAAAAATGAATCAGATATAAGAAAACTATAAAAGTCTAATAAATGTCACAATTTTACTACTACTACTAATAATAATTTATAAAGTCATTTTTTATAACTTGCAAAATCATTCCAGTAGAACAGTGTAAGTATACAAATATAGTATTACAAAGTTCTAGAATTTCCAGATATAAAATGATCCAATACCTTTCCAATTCAGTAAATATACAGATTAGCTCATGACCTTCCTATTCATCAGTTTCACTTGGTTCAAAGCATTCACAATGTCAGAAAAAAATCAATTTTTCACTAAAGCAAATGAGAATGTCTACTGTATTATTTCAAAATAAGTTTCACATCACCTGAATCAATGTGTAAAATTAAACAGCAATTTATACAAAAACTATCAACTGCAAGATAACTAATGAATAATTTACCAAATTCCAAGGAAATGAAGCCTCAAAGTTGATGATTATTGAAACTGGATCAAAAAGAACAGAAGAATTACACAGTCAACCAGCAAAAATGGTGCAGTCGTTTAAATGAATTTATGCACCATGGTGAGTCATTTTGGCTTGCAATCAGCAAAATCACTAACCTTAAAAATTGGGTGCTCACTGACTGATAGATGATAGCAAAAACTAAATAGTGATTTCAGTTAAGTAACCATTCTTTATACAAAAGGCCATCTTCAAATGAACTTGGGCAGATAAGAGTGCTGTTGCTATAACCATACTATAATTTTGGATCAGAAAAATCTTACACCTTTTGTTGTTGGATCTTGTAAGGCATTGTTTACTGTGAACTGCTTGAGCCAAACAAGAGTATCACTGTTGAAATATACAGCAAGCAGCTGCTAAAAAATGCCCATAAATGTACAAAGACCACATGCTGACTATAAAAAAACTTGCAGCCACCTCAATCGCCTAATTTGGTGCTTTCTGAGTACCATTTCTGGATTCCACAGAACTTTCTGAATGACTATAGTTTCTGATATATGTCATCAGAATGGTAATATAAATTTTGTTCAGTTAAAAATTCATTTTATTCTATCATAAAGCAATATATGATTTACTTACATGCTTGCAGAGTGATAAATAACAAGGGTGATTATGTTGCATGCCTCTTTTGTGAGAATAACTTTTGATGACTGCACAAAATATTTGGAAACTTTCTTACCAAACCAATATTTATCTGCAG